AATAAATAAATAAATAAATAAATCTTTAAAAAAAATAAAATAAAAACTATGCAGTCGGTGAAGCTTCAGACTCGGTTTGGCTCAGGTCATGATCTAAGGGTCATGGGATCAAGCCCTGCATCGTGCTCTGTGCTCAGAGCAGAGTCTGCTTGAAATTCTCTCTCCCTCTGTCCCTCCCACTCATTCTCTCTCTCTCTCAAATAAATAAATCTTTTAAAAAATAAAATAGAAACTACTGGTTGTAGTTTATGTGGCAAACATTAAGCACCAACTTTTGCCAGTCACCTTGACGAAAACAAATTTCCTGCATTATTTATGTCTATATAGTAGAAACGGAATGGGTTTAAAAGGGAATGCAATCACTGAGAGCTGGAGTAGCTCCTGGAAGGATGTGGATAAAGTGAAGAATTTCTCAAGGGTCCTCATGAACCCATCACCCATCTGTCTCAGAGCACGGTCAAGCTGAGCCTGTGTAACTAAAGCAGGAGTATCGTGCTTTTAGGAGAGCAGTCGTTATGCTGGGGGCTCTTTATTCCTCACTGAGAGGTTCATTCACCACAGTTTACACATATAAATTTTACAAAGCATAAAGAGAAAAATAGCACAGAAACTATGCCACAAGCACCATAGAAATGAGTACAGTTTATGCTCTTGAAATTTTTATTTTAGAATTTCAGAAGTGCAATAAATTATTTTTAAAACAATATTCACAGTTTGTTCAATATAAGCAATAAATTATTAAAATGCCCAATTATAAATAATGTACATATTTCTAGTATTAACTCAGAAATTGTAGAGATTTATTTCAGCTAGACATAACTCAGGGAAATTTCTCTGTCCTGGTCCTGTTCAAATAATTTTCTCCTTTTGGCCTTTTCCTTTTGGGAAATAAATTCTTGATTATCTGCTTCAAGTGATCTAATTTTCAAAAAATACCAGATAAAATACAACATTCTTAGCTCATCTCACCCCACTACCCTTTGGAGAGAGCTCAGAGAAGGCGGGGTCACCCATTTGGACTTTTAACCAGACATATGCGAAAGATGGGTTTGCTGGTGGATGGATAGGCATAAAATGTGCCCTGAAGCCAAGTAGACTTTCTGAAAAATTTTGTCATTTGGGATTATCTTTGCCCTGTCCACTTACTCTGAGAAATGCGAAGTTGAATGTCATTGTTATTTTCATTACAATGTTATGAAGATTAGGTTATATGAAGCTTTTTTGCTTGCAAAACAAATCCCATGTTCTCAGGTGCTCATACCCGAACCGAAGCAGATGTTGGGATGCAGAAAGAGCTCATGGATGATTATGGAATTAGGTCCATAATGCAGCAAAAATTCTGTCTCTCCTGTACATACTTAAATGTTAATTTCTTGCCCTTCTAAAGTAGACTGTCATGTATCAAAAACCAAGAAGAGGAAATAGAATTCTGCTAGCTAAAATTAATTACAAAGACAAAAATATCAGAGTACCAATATCTTTAGTTCAAGTATTTCTAACATGCTTTGTGTTTATTACCTTGCGCAGACCTACATAACTGAATGGTGTCATGCTCAGTGAAGTTCACAAAATTATAGTTTTGATTTAGTGACAGATGAGCCTGTTTGGCACTTTTTAAATCGTCAACTTCAAATAAGCATACTTTATAATTTGAAAACAGACCCTTAAGAGTTCTTTCCCTGTCAAGTAATGTAACAGCTTCTTTTTATGTATGTCTATCTTCCCAAAGGACGATATCAGGAAACTGGGCAAGCTGTTGATGCATGGCTCTTTCAACGTCTGGACAGTTCACAAGGATCGTTATAAAATGAAGGATTTTATCCGATTTAAGCCCAGCCAAAGGCAAATCTATCTATTTGAAAGGGGAATCGTGTTCTGTAAGATTCGAATGGAGCCCAGTGACCAGGGCCTCTCTCCTCATTACAGCTTTAAGAAATCTATGAAGGTAAAGGGTCCTGTTGCACTTGAGAAGCAGCATGGCCCTAGGGAGAGAAAAATCGTTATCCTTATTTTACAGATAAGGAAACTGAAGCCTAGAGAGGAGAGGTTAACTTGCCAAATGCCACACAACAGAACTAGACTCTGCACCCAGGCCTTTCTAACTCCATAGTCAGCTGGTAATCAGTCACCGGACCAGGCCAGGGCCGGCATAGAGGTGCCTTTGTGCTAGGTAGAGAACAGGGACCATATGGCAGCTGTCCTGACAAACGATTTAGGAAAGTACCCTGCAGGCAGAGGGGTGAAAGATTTGGTGATTAGCACATGGGCTGGATTTCATCTCCTACTTGTCCTTCTCAGCCACACATCTTTGCATACTAGGGTTGGCAAAGACTCTGGAGGTCTAGGAACCCATGTCCACACCAAACATCATCTCTAGCCTGTGTAGGAATTATTTCATAGGTGGTGATGAGACCACCCCCACACCACCACACACATACCGCACACATGTGTGCATACATGCACACACATACACACACATCTGTGCTCTTGTGATTAAAGTTGTTAATTATTTATGGTAGCTTTTGTTATTTATGTTTCTTAATGGATACTAATTCAGTTACTATTATGTACAGATTTGTGAGATAGTTAGGTGTTAAAGGAGAGATGATCTCTTTGCTTAAAGGTTGAGGGCTCCAGCCCTACATACGGAAAGATGCAGTCTGTGTTGTCCTCTGAAAGAGAGGACAGATGACACTGTGCCACACTGTGCTTGTGCTCTATGCTCCCTGGGACCATTAACAGAGGACAACAAAACACACGGAAGGAAGATGGAAGAAGAGAGCTATCGAGGGTAGAAAGAACCAGAGTGGCTGACAGGGACAATTTTAAAATCAGAAAATGGTAGTACAGCAATTTTTCTTCTTTCTTTACAATAGTTGATGACACTTTCAATTCACCAGCTTGGAAGGGGGAGCAGCCGAAAGTTTGAAATTGCCAACCGAAATGGACTTGAGAAATACATCCTGCAGGTAAAGCTCACGTCTTCCCCATGGGTGTCTGCTACTCTTTCCTGTGTTCCCATGACTTGGCAAGTGTTTTCTATCTCATTATTCTAGAGGTCACCCAGAGAATAAAAACCCCGCCCAGTTAATGCTCCAGGTGATCTGATACTCATAGTATCTTCTTATCTGCAACTTGCAGGCAGCTTCAAAAGAAATCAGAGATTGTTGGTTTTCAGAAATAAGTCAATTACTGCTGGAACAACAAAACAATAACAAAGGTAAGGTTACTTGCTAGCTTTAGTCTGGAGAGTCATGCTGATTCCAAATTTGTGGTGGGTATGCACATTGGGGATATTGTAAAGGAAATGGTTTGCCAGGAAAATAACCGTGGGCCCCATTTTCATGGTACCTGGAAGCACCTGTGCTTGCTTTAAGTCGTGTGGGGTTTTTTTTTGTGGTTGTGTGTGGATGTGTCCCTTTCAACTGTTTTCCCCCACATACCTAAATGCCAAGATCAACTTTCTCAACCCCAAATCCCAAAGCCACCCAAGATTATGTTAATGGGGACTTAAGTGGCCAATACTACTTTCAGAAGCTGTACTGCTTTTTTTTAAAGCTGAGATATAATTAACATGCCATAAAATGCACTCTCTTAAAGTGTGCAATTCCATGGGTGTTAGTCTAGTCACAAGGTTGTGCAACCATCACCAGAACATTTTCATCACCCTCCCCAACAAAAAAATCCAGTACCCATTAGCAGTCATTCCCCGTCCTCTCCCTCCTCCCCTCTGCCCCTGGCAACCACTAATCTACTTTCTATCTGTATGGATTTTCTTATTCTGGACATTTTACATAAATGGAATCATATAGAATATGGCACTTTCTGTCTAGTTTCTTTCACTCAGCATAATTTTTTCAGTGTTCATCCATGTTGTGGTTTGTCTCAGTCCTTCATTCCTTTCCATGGCCAAAATATAGTACATTGTATGGATATAGCATATTTGTTTATCCATTCATAAGTTGTTGGATATTTGGGTGGTTTCCATTTTGGGGGTATTGTGAATAATGCTGCTATGGGAACTTGTGTACAAGTTTTTGTGTGAACCTCTGAAAAAATATGTATGTATATAAATAATTGCTGGGCCAAATGGTAAACCTATGTTAATTTTCTGAGGAACTTCCAAATTGTTTTCTAAAGTAGTAGCACCATTTCTTGTTCGCACTAGCAGTGTATAAGTGTTCCATTTTCTCCCCTCCCTGACACTTGTGATTGTTGTCTTCTCCTCCTCCTTCTTCTTTTTTCTCTTCCTCCTCCTCCTCCTCTTCTTCTTCTTCTTCTTTTTCTTCATCTTCGTCTTCGTCTTCGTCTTCATCTTTCTTCCCACCCCAGTAGGTGTGAAGTGGTAGCTCATTGTGGTTTTGATTTGCATTTCCCTAATGCTAGTGATATTGAGCATCTTTTCATGTGCTTATTGGCCATTTGTGTATTTCCTTTGAAGAGATGTCTATACAACTTCTTTGCTCATTTTTTAAATAGGTTATTTGCCTTCTTATGGTTGTAAAAATTATTTATATATTCTGGGTACTAGATTCATATCAAATATATGATTTACAAGTATTTTTTCCCATTCTGTGGACTGTCTTTTCATTTTCTTGAGGATGTCTTTTGAAGCACAAAAGTTTTTAATTTTGATGAAGTCTAATTTATCTATTTTTTCTTTAGTTGCTTGTGTTTTGGTGTCATATCTAAGAAACGATTGCCTAATCCAAGATTTACAGCTGTGTTCCCTTCCAAAAATTTAGTTTTAACTCTTTGATCCATTTTGAGTTTATTTTTGTATAAGGTGTGAATTAGGGATCTAAGTTTATTTTTCCACCTGTGTATATATATCCTGCTGTTCCTGAACCATTTGTTAAAAAGACTATTCTATTCTCCACTGAATGGTCTTGGCACTTGTTAGGGACTCAAGTGCCATAACAATGTTTGTGTTCCCCTAAATTTCATGTTAGAACTTTACCCAATGGTATGAGAAAGTGAAGACTTAGGGAGGTAATTAGGAGTAGATGAAATTATAAGAGTTGAGCCATCATGAATAGGATTAATGCCCTTATAAGTGCCATGAGAGAACTTGCTTCCTCTGTCTACTCTCTGCTATGTGAGGATATAATGAGAAGTCATCAATCTGCAGCCCAGAAGAGGATCCTCACCAGAACTCAACCATGCTGGCACTGTGATCTCAGACTTCCAAGCCTCCAGAACTGTGAGAAATAGATTTCTGTTGTATATAAGCTGCCCAGTCTGTGGTACTTTGTTATAGCAGCCTGAACTAAGACAGCACCCTTGTTGAAAATCAATTGGCCATAGATATAGAATTCTTGGTTGCCAGTCATTTTCTTTAAGCATTTTGAATATGTCATGTACTGTTTTGTGGCCTCCATAGTTTCTGATAAGAAATCAACTATTAATTTTATTGAAAATGTCTTGGAGCGCCTGGGTGGCTCAGTCGGTTAAGTGTCCAACTCTTGATTTCCTCTCAGGTCATGATCTCAGGGTTGTGAGATCAATCCCTGCATTAGGCTCTGTGCTGGGCATGGAGCCTGCTTGGGATTCTCTCTCCCTTTCCCCCTGACCCTCCCCCCAGCATGTGTGTACTCACTCTCTCTCTAAAATATATATATATATTTTATATATATATATATATTATATATATATAAAGATCAGATATATATATATATGTAAAGATCAGAGATAAAATTTTTAAAAAATGTCTTGCATGTGACAAATTGCTTTTGTCTTGCTGCTTTCAGATTCTTTATGTTTTGACAGTTTGATTGATATGTCTAGGTGTAGACCTCTTTGAATTTATATTTGTTGGAGTTTGTAAATAGATCATTTGGATGTGGAGATTAGTATTTTTCATCAAATTTAGGAAGTCTTCAGCCACTGATTTCTTTAAGTATTCTTTCAGCCCCTTTGTTTCTGTCTTCTTCTGGAATTCCCATTCTGTGTATGTTGGTACGCTCGATGGAGTCCTACAGGTCTTTATGGCTCTGTAAATTCTTGTTCATTCTTTTTCTTTCTCTTCCTCAAACTGGTTAGTTTCAATTGACCTATATCTAAGTTTCCTGACTCTTTCTTGTGCCTGCTCAAATTTGCCTTTGAGCCACTCTAGTTTATTCTACTTTTCAACCCAGAATTTCTATTGGCCCTTTCAAATATAATTTCTCTCTCTTTTCTCCATTTGATGAGAGCGTGTTCTGATACCTTCCTTTAGTTCCTTTTTTATGGTTTCTTTTAATTCTTTGAACAGTTTTTAAATAGTTGATTTTAAAGTCTTGGTCTAAGAAGTCTAATTATCTTGGCTTCAGGGACAGTTTCTCTTGATTTTTTTTTCTTTTTTCTATGTATGGGTCATGCTTTCTTGTTTCTTTACATGGCTTACAATGTTTCTGTTGAAAACTGGACATTTAATAACATAATGTGGTGATTTTAGAAATCAGAGTCTCCTCCATCTCCAGTGGTTTTTGTTGGTATTGTTTGTTGTTTTGTTATTGTTTGTTTAGTAATTTTTCCAGTCTTTGCCAGGAGCTCTGTGTGGATATTGGGATGCACTTTCAACACACCTTCAACACACAGCCAAGCAGGTGACAATTCCGCCCTAGCCTTCACTTCTTGTTTGTGCAGAGCCCCAAGATATCTCCCCACCAGAGATGAGAGCATAAGGCCTTCACAGATTTGTCCTGAACATGTACACAGACTTGGGCATTTGTATATGGTCTTCTAGATTCTCAGGAATATTTGGGAGCTTTTCAAAGCCACTATGGACATCTCATTCCCAAGCTTTTCCTTTTAAACTTTCAATTAGCCTATTTTTGCCCCAGCTGTTATCCAGTGCCTCGGGCAGCCAAGAAGTTAAACAATTGCCTCTAGTAATTTTCTACAAATGCCCCTGAAGAAAAGGTTTTTCACACTGTGCTAGGTGTGAATAGGTCTAATAAAGACAGGCTTATAAGTAGGGTGTTCCAAGGAACCCCCAAACAAGTCAAATAATGACAGTTCTCTGGGAATGAGACTTTGAATGAACTCTAACCCTGTTCTGCTCCCTCCTATGGCTGCTAGACTGCTAATTTTCACCATGATCTCTAGCTCTTGATTTCCAAGGCTGCCATCAACAAGGTTGGGAACAGAGCAGCTAAAACACCACAAAGCTCACTGTTCATACTAAGATTCAGCCATTTCTCTTGAATAAATGTTCTCCTAGTTACTGTAAGCCTTTGTTTAATTTCTAGTGTTCTGAAAATATTGTTTCTGAGTATTTTGCCAGTTTTTTTCTATGTTTTCATGGAGCAGAGAATTTTTTAAGGTTCTTTTTTTTTTCTGCACCATTTTCACAGGTATCACTTGCTGTACTCCTTTTAATAATTAAGAATCATCTTTGAGTAGGCTTTGCCCTTTCACGTTTGTTTTTTCAGTTGATCCTCATAGCAGCAGGGATATTTGGTAGGAAAATCCGCAAGCTGCATCAGTTGAATTCAGATATTTCCTTCAGGTAATATTGTGAGGGCTGAGAAATGCTAGTCTCACATGGAAAATCGATCTCCTATCATTTATACTGACAATGATTTGTGTGTTTGGTAAGGAAAGTTATGTAAATATGAAAAGATAAACTTTGTCCTCAGAGACTTATCAGGAATGCAACAATTTCACATTCTTTCTGTGTCTTCTCTGACCATTAGTTGGACAGGAGGATGCAAGGGTGGGTATGCATGACAAGATGAGGAAAAAGATAAACTAAGACTGTGACTGGAAAACCATCACATCAGTTTTCTGTCACAACAACCAAGTGATGTAAGTTCCTTACTTAAACTATTGGCCTTTGCCAAGAAATAATAACTACATTGTATAGTTTATTTTAATTTATATAAAGGTAAGATGGGGAAAAACTATGATTTACTCTTGAACTATTAATACTGTGCTAAATATATGTTAAGGTAATTGACCATGAATGCTCTGGAGGCATATCACAGGAAGATGTAAGAACCCCAGTAGAAAAAGTTACTTGTTTTCCCCAGAATCAACATTCTCATCACAAGATTGTTCTAGAAATCCTTACCATAGTTTCGCAAAGGATGTTTTAGGGATAGCCTGCATTAGAATTACTTGAAGGGCTTGTTACAAATGTAGATATCTGGGTCCTACCTTAGAGCTGTGGAATTAAGGTAGTTAGGGTTAATGCCTTGGAATATGAATTTTAGCTTATTAAAGTTTCTGGACAGAGGCCTTAAACGATTTTTTTTAAAGATTTTATTTATTTATTTGAGAGAGAGAGCGAGAGCGAGAGAGAGCAGGAGGAGGAGCAGAAGGAAAGGGATAAGCAGACTCTGCACTGGGCACAGAGCCCGA